TGTGTCACCATCTGGTTCCTAATTACGTGCACCTCCACTAATCAATCTACCTTCGTGGGATACCCCTCGGAGAACTGCCGAGCATCTTTTGTTGACACTCATGGTTGCTAGAACGAAGTGGTGGAAATTAGAAGGGGAGGCATCAAAGGTCTTTAAGGAAAAGATCATTAAAGAGGGCCCTTGGAAGGATGAAGGCGATGCAAATAGCATGTGGGAGAAGATGGCAACATGCGTTTGGAAGGTTGCTTCAGAGGTGCTTAGAGTGACCAAACGGAGCGGATGCGACTCGAAAGACAGCTGGTGGTGGAATAAAGATGTGCAAAAGGCTATTAAGGAAAAGGAGTGTTATAAGTGCTTGTATCATGATAGGTGTGCAGACAACATAGAGAAGTACAAGGTGTCAAAGAAGACTGTAAAATGAGCGGTGAGTGAGGCAAAGGGGTGGGCCTATGAGGACCTTTACCAATGTTTGAGTATGAAGGAAGGAGAGAATGACATTTATAGAATGGTTAGGGCTCGCGATAGGAAGACAAGGGACTTCAACCAAGTCAAGTGTATAAAGGATGAGAGGGAGCAACTCTTGGTGAAGGAGGATAAGATCAGACATAGATGGCAAGAGTATTTTGATAAATTATTTAATGGTGAGAACGAGAACACCACCATTCAGCTGGACGACTCATTTGATGACACTAATAGGCGCTTTGTGCGGAGGATTCAAGAATCGAAGGTCAGAGAAGCCTTGAAAAGGATGAAAGGGGGCAAAGCGATGGACCCTGATGGTATCCCAATCAAGGTGTGGAGATGTCTCGGGGATATAGCTATAGTATGGCAAACCAAGATGTTCAACAATATCTTTTGATCGAACAAGATGTCTGAGGAGTGGAGAAGAAGCATATTGGTACCAATCTACAAGAACAAGGGAGATATCCAAAGTTGTACTAATTATCGAGGAATTAAGTTGATAAGCCACACTATGAAGTTATGGAAGAGAGTCATCGAGCAGTGCCTGTGGGGAACGACATAGATATCAACAAACCAATTTATTTTCATGCCTGGAAGGTCAACCACAGAAGCAATCTTCTTAATAAGACAAGTTATGGAGCGGTTTAGAGAGCAGAAGAAGGACCTCCACATGGTTTTCATTGATTTGGAGAAGGCTTATAACAAGATACCAAGAAATATTATGTGGTGGGCTTTGGACAAACTTAAAGTCCCATCAAAGTACGTGACTCTCATCAAGGACATGTACAATAATGTTGTGACTAGTGTTTGAACAAACGATGGTAACACAAATTACTTTCCAATTAAAATTAGACTTCATCAAGAGTCAACCTTAAGCCCGTATCTCTTTGCCTTAGTAATGGATGAGGTTACCAGGAACATACAAGGGGATATCCCTTGGTGTATGTTGTTCGCTGATGATGTAGTGTTAGTGAACGAAATTTAGGCGGGAGTAAATAGGAAACTAGAGTTACGGCGGCAGATCCTTGAGTCTAAAGGTTTTAGATTGAGCAGAACTAAAACCAAATACATAAGATGCGACTTTGGTGGAGCTGCATAGGAGGAGGGAGATGTGAGTTTGGAAGGTCAAGTAGTGCCTAAGAAGGATACATTTCGGTATCTGGGATCGATGCTATAGAGGGATAGAGATATTGATGCATACGTTAGCCATAGAATCAAAGCAGGGTGGATCAAGTGGCGATAAGCTTCTGGCATTCTCTATGATAATAGGGTACCACAAAAGCTAAAAGGCAAGTTTTATAGAACGGCGATTAGACCGGTTATGTTGTATGGAGCAGAATGTTGGCCTACAAAGATTCGATGTGTTTAACAACTGTGTGTTGCAGAAATGCGTATGTTGCGATGGATTTGTGGTCACACAAGAATGGACCGAGTTCGGAACGATGATATACGTGATCGCCTAGGGGTAGCACCAATTGAAGAAAAGCTTGTCCAACATCGGTTGAGGTGGTTTGACCATGTCCAAAGGAGACCTCCAGAGGCACCAGTGCATTGTGGAGTCCTAAGCCATGCTAATAATATGAGGAGAGGTAGAGGAAGACCGAAATTGACATGGGAGAAGGCAATGAAAAGAAATTTGAAAGCTTTGGATATACCTAGAGATCTATGTTTGACAAGGAGTGCTTGGAAAGTAGCTTTTGTAGTGCCTGAACCATGACTTGGCGCTCTTGGTGGGTTTCAACTCTAGCCTACCCCAACTTGCTTGGGACTGAAAGGCTATGTTGTTGTTGTTGTATATATTTCTGCTGGTGGTTTTTTCTATATCACCTACTTAATAGTATTTGCTAGTTTGGATATATTGTTACTTTACTAGGAGTTGTTTGTGCAACTCTTCATCAGTTTAGGCCTCGTTTCGAATATGTGATTTCTTTTGCATGAATAATGTATTTTTCTAGTGAAACCAAACCTATCAGATTACTGCATTCTCAAGGGGTCCCATCTCCCTGGCTTTCCACTTACTGGAAGACCAGTATTTTCCTGTAACAAAAAAGTATTGGAATGCAGAAACTTCATATTAGTCATATATAGGAATCCCGTGAGGTCTAAACATTAGCTTTCAAGTTTAAGTGAAATATATTCACTAGGCTTATGAATGATGATGAGTTGTCATTACCTTCTTCCATGTATATGTTGAAAGTTATTAGTATGGAAGCGAAGTATGTGTTCTTGGCAATTGGTATGGAAGTGAAGTATACTCATTATTACCTCCAGTCTGTTCTTGGCAACTGTTTCTTTTAAATATAGCACTACTATTTTACAAATCATCTTTACATGGTAACTAGCCTCTTCTTGCTAACTGAGGCATGTTTAATTTGAACATCATCCATCTAGATCATTTTTGTCATAGTATTTACGTATTGCAAGAAGAGGAAGAATATGGATTGAGTCAATTCTGCATGCGTCACGTATTCCTGCCAACTCATCGTACTTCGTAGACATGTCTTTCTGCTCAACCATTTTGCTTTCTTCTGTTATGTCTGATGGTTCCACATGAAAGGCTTCTCTTGTGTTTGTCTACCAAAGACCTATTTCATGTCGTGGCATAAGAAGGATCTTATTGACTAATTTTATGCATTGTTTGAACCGCTAAGATATCATGTTTGTGGTGTGTTTTGTTGGTTCGTCAAAAATAGTCTGTAGGATTTTCTTTCAAGCAAAATCATTAAATTCTGTCATTGTGTGGAGGTGTCACTTGGTCCTTGAACTTACCTATGTTATACAAGTTTGTATGTTAAATCTGATCTCCAAGTAACAATTACCAATCGAAAGTATACTAGAATACATTACAAAACTTTTGAAGGCTTGATTAGTTCAGTACACCCCGATCCTTCTATTGGTTGTGCTAGAAAATGTAACTCCGGGCCTTCGCAGTTACTAGAAAATATAACTCCAGGCCTATTTGGTTAGCAAATTTAAAAAGTAGCTTGGACCAGGCAGGCTTCTCAGTTAGATGCCTAGGTTTAGGCCTCAATCCAAACAATGTGTCATGCGTGTACTTATTAAACTATCAATCCTTGGCCATGATGATACCTAGCAACCAGCACTGGCATTTTGGAAAACGGACAACGTCACCACCTTCCATCACTAGTTGTGCCGGATAGACTACTCCCTCGCCCAAAATATAGTGGGATCTTTAATATCACGCTTTAACCGCTAATTTTATTTAAATATATTATTATGGCAACAAAAAAATGATCATTACAAAGTGTTGCTAAATGCAAACCTAATGCAACAACTTTTGTAGCACAAACGTTCCTATAATTAGACTAATAGTTGGTTAAAGATAACAAAAATTGTTTTCAAAATACTTGCATACTTGACCGCTCATGTTATATTTTAGGACAGATGTAGTACTACCAAGGCACCCTCTTGGCGATATGTTCGGAGAGCCCATCTCTACCATATTTTCCGTCCGCTTCCCACTACACGAGCTCCCTTCTACTCACAACCGCATCAATGCATCTAGTTTGTGTAGTGGTGAGTCCACCATCGACTCCGCCCTAGGTTTGTCAATGTCACCCGCCATGACGACATTGGCTATGGAGGCACTCAAACCCAATATTGGCTTCACCATCATCTTCAAAGTTAGCTGAGATACAGGAACAATAATAAAGAGAACTACAACATAAAAGATACATAAATTCTTCACCATGGTGAGCCCCAAACCCTAGTATTGTCTGTAAAAAGAAAATGGAAGTATGAGGATGTGTCCCTATGTAACGACCCCAAAATACATTGTTTTTAAAATACTTATTAAAACATTGTTAAACCCCTGGGACATGCTTCCCTCTATGTTAGTTACCCTAGAAATACAACAGAAGGGTTCCAACCTAATAAGCATAACATCGTTGATGGTGTTGTGAGACAGTCCACAACTCACCTGTGTATAGTCCGTGAGCGCACGGTGACACATGTACCAACTGGCAGCCTGTTCGTTTGCTCGTAAACGATCGTAAATTTCCAGCCGGGAACAATGTTTTTCTCTCACACCAAATCAGCCAGCAGTAAATAATCCACGATACGATACGTCCTCCCGAACAGGCTGTAGACCAGCCCAACACTTACACCCTCCCACCAGTCCCTTCCTCTCTTTCTCTCCCTCACTCACACTTCATTCGCCCACCCCAGAGAGGGGTGTGTGTGTATGTGTGTGTGTATATATATATATGTGTGTGTGTGTATATATATATATATATATATATATACACACAAAAAAAAAGATATCGAAGCAAGTCCAAGCCGAGCCTGAGCCGAATATAAGCACCTCGCGGGCCTCAAGCCTTTTCGCTTGAGAGCCTAGCTCTCGAGTGGGCCAGGATAAAGCCTAGTTTGTCCCATTGGGCTCTGCACGCACAGAACCGACCAACGACCAACGCACAAAAAGCGAAGCAAACGGCAAGGACACACGCCGACCGGCCCACCGCCTCTCCTCTTCCCGAGCCCGCACTCGTCTCCTCGCGACCACGCCGCCGCCGACTATGGCCGCCGCCGAGGTGGACCCCAGCCCCAACCCGGCGCCCACCACGGCCTCCGACCTCCCCAACGGAAGCAAAACCAAGGCGCGGGAGGCCGACCGCCGCCGCCGCCGCCGCAAGGCCAAGAAGAACAAGTCCGCCGCTGAGGCCGATGCCCAGGATGCGGACGGGGGAGCTTCTGGCTCCGACGCCAAGGAGAACGCCGATCCCAACCCCGAGCCCCAGGTGAGCGACTTTCCGCGGCGCATCCTCCGTACCCACCTTGAAGTTAGGCACGCACGGCACGGCACGGGGCCTAAAACCTAGGGTTTCTGAACGTGCTGGATTTGGATTTGCTGCAGGTAGAGGTGGAGATAGAGTACGTGCCGGAGAAGGCCGAGCTGGACGACCCTCTCCTCGATGACTTCAAGGCCATCTTCGAAAAGTTCACCTTCAAGGACGCTGCCGCAGCAGCGGCCGAGGTATTTGGATTTACAAAGTTTTTCTTCAGTCGGTCGGTCGGTCGATGAGCGAGCCTAAGTGTGGTGTTCTAATGTATGTTCGCTGACAGGATGATAAAAAAGATGAGGGTGCCACTGATGCCACAAAGAAGGGCTCAGATGACGACGACGACGAAGACGATGAGCAGGAGGCAAACAAGAAGAAGGAAGGAGGGCTGTCCAATAAGAAGAAGAAGCTGGAGCGCAGGATGAAGATTGCAGAACTCAAACAGATATGCAACAGACCTGACGTTGTAGAGGTGCGCTCTTGTTTCCAATCAAGTGAACCCGCAGCCAGCAGTTTCATTTTTGCTGATAAAAATCCATTACGTATAGATCGTCTATCTTCATCTCAATTTTTTTTTTCAATTCCAGGTCTGGGATGCAACTGCTGCAGATCCAAAATTGCTTGTATATCTCAAGGCATACAGAAATACAGTACCTGTCCCTAGGCACTGGTCTCAAAAGCGCAAGTTCTTGCAGGTTTGTGACTTTCAACACATCTATTTAGTTTGAATATATGGGTGCTTATATTTGGTGAAATTAGTCTGTATACATACATATCGTGTTTGCATTCTCTTCTCAGTGAGTCATTGATGGTGTGGGGGTGTGGGAGCGAAATGTCCATATGGTTTCACACCTCTTATACAGATACCTAATTCTTGCAGGGATGGCTGTAACAACTGGGGCGGCTGGGCTTGCTGGTGCAATACTTGAGTGGGTTCTGTAGTCTATATATTGGATCATTGAAACTAGTTTATTTCACATGAGGCCCTCTTCAGTGGAATGGAATAGATTAAGGTCCAGCTAGAGTCCATGGCCTTAAATATTAATTCACACCACAAATACAAGTGTCTTTCCTGTTTTTGTTGCAAATTGTACTGAAGTCTACATATTTAAGACACCAATATTTTCTTATTCATCTGTTAGTTATAACGTTTCTTGTTTGTACATATTCAATTTACAATGTTATCTTGTTGTTTCAGGGGAAGAGAGGTATTGAGAAACAGCCTTTCCAGCTTCCTGACTTCATTGCTGCAACTGGAATAGAAAAGATAAGACAGGTAACTTGCTTATGGTATCTCAGTAATTTACTTCCCTCTCTGCTTATTCAAACTTTTTCTTGGGGGAACGCTGCAGAACTATTCATACCAGTTTGGTGCCATGAACATGAACCGCCTAATTGATTTCTAAATGTATACACAGGCTTATATTGAGAAAGAGGATAGCAAGAAGTTGAAACAGAAACAGCGGGAGCGTATGCAGCCCAAAATGGGCAAAATGGATATAGATTATCAGGTAAACTTCTTTCCACCCACAAAGCGTGAAATGTGAAGTAGTTTGTGGCTTTTGTGTCTTGTGTGCATCTATAGGAGTAGGACTAGGAGCAGACATATGTCTACTTTGTACTTTCTTCCTTTGTCATATATTCTCATGATATCTTGTTGTCGTCATGCCTCCACATCTGATCCTGATTCCTTGTCTTAAGGTCGTGACCAATTCATCAGAGTTTTCAGATTACTAGCAATTACTGGTGTTGCTGTTTTATGAAGTATATTTGTGCCCTAGATTTGGCTAGTTACCTGGTCTTGAGATGGCTGTCACACAGATGGATTGTCTAACAATACATTTGTTCTTGGCAGGTTTTGCATGATGCGTTCTTCAAATATCAGACAAAACCCAAGTTGTCTAGTCATGGTGATCTGTATTATGAAGGCAAGGAATTTGAGGTACGTATGGTTTTTGTGTTATAACTGCAACTAGATGTCAATGTATGGTTTTTGTGTGATAACACCATGTTATTAACTTCTACTTCATTCAACAGGTTAAACTGAGGGAAATGAAGCCAGGCATGCTGTCTCGTGAGCTTAAAGATGCTCTTGGTATGCCTGATGGTGCCCCTCCCCCATGGCTTATAAACATGCAGGTTTGTTCTTTTAACCTGAATTCAGCTGTTCCTATTGATAATGCCTTTGTTACTGGCTAACTTAAATCGATGTATAACGTTTCAGCGCTATGGTCCACCTCCATCTTATCCCCAACTGAAGATCCCAGGTCTAAATGCCCCAATCCCCCCTGGTGCCAGTTTTGGTTATAGACCAGGGGAGTGGGGAAAGCCACCAGTTGATGAGGTATGTTTTCTATTGAAAGTTTGAAACTTTGCTTTTACACTGTCTGGATGTACTCAAGGTTCCTTTCCTAAGCTCTTGTATTGTTTCTTGCCAACAGCATGGACGTCCACTCTATGGAGACGTTTTTGGTGTTCTGCAGCAGGACGAACCTAACTACGATGTATGTTTCACTTTACGTTTTAGTGGGTAAATACTGCAGAATTCAGAGCCAATTTAGAAGCAGAACTTATTTGTTTTCTTCAACCTTGCAGGATGAACCTGTTGATCGCAGCAAACACTGGGGAGATTTGGAGGAAGAGGAGGAGGAAGAAGAGGAAGAGGAGGAGGAAGAGGAAGAACCAATGGAAGACGAGGAAATGGAAGACGGAATTCAGTCTGTCGATACTATCTCAAGGTGATTTTACTATATTTCTTTCTTTAGTGTTTTGTAGCCCTTGGTTTTCTTTTTCTTTAGTAATGCTGATGCAGTAGACATGTATGCCTAACCCCCCCCCTTTTTCTTTTTCTTTTTTTCTTTTTTTTTGCCTCCAACCAGTACTCCAACTGGTGTTGAAACACCTGATGTTATTGACCTTCGGAAGCTGCAGAGGAAGGAGACTGAGAAGCAGGCAGAACGACCATTGTACCAGGTAAGTAAATGTTTGTGGTATTGGTGGGGTTTGTGGTATCTTTGTTAGTATTCTTTGCTGATGTTCCTTCCTTGGCTCCTGAAGGTTCTTGAACAAAAGGAAGAAAGGATCGCCCCTGGGACACTGTATGGGTCAAGCCATACGTATGTCTCCCTAACCCTAATACCTCTTGCATGTCCCCCCTTGGTTTTGTATCTCATGCCGTGTGTGCTCGCTTTACAGGTATGTGCTGGGAACACAAGATAAATCATCAGCTCCGAAAAGGGTGAGTGTTGGAGCTGTACCCCTTTGGGTGCTCTTTGGAACTAGGTCGTTTCCCTGATATTTGATAATTGATCTTTTTTTTTAACTTCTGTTAAATTTGGTGGCAGGTGGATCTGCTTAAGAATCAAAAGTCAGACAAGGTGGACGTCACCATCCAACCTGAGGAACTGGAAGCCATGGATGATGTTTTGGCAGCCAAGTAAGTATCACTTCGCCTGATGTCTTTGTTCAGTTGATATTGTTGGTTGCTTTTTTTTTTTCCTTCTTCCAATTCAAAACGTTAATGAATTATCCTCTTCCGATAATGCAACAGGTATGAAGAAGCGCGAGAGGAAGAGAAGCTTCGCAACCAAAAGGAGGACTTCAGTGACATGGTGGCGGAGGTATGTACTATTCTGTGACCCAGTGATTTCGTTTATGTTTTGATTTCAATAGCTAGCTGATTGATGAGTGGGCATCATGGACACATGACTCTTTGCAGAATGCTCACAAGAGGAAGCGGAAGCAAGAGAAGGAAGGCAAGTCGAAGAAGAAGGAATTCAAGTTTTAAGGGTGATATATAGATAGGTCTGCAGGGGTGGTTGTATGGTGTGTTGTATTAGTAGCCTGTTCGGTTGGCTGGTTCATATCGTTGCTGGTTCGTGAAGAAGTACTGCTGGCTGGTTTGCGTGAGAGAAAAAAACTGTTTCGGCTGGAAATTTACGAGGATCCTCGCGGCGATCTTGCGAGCCAACGTCACCTGGCTGTACTGTGAATTTTGTACGCTACTAGTACGTTAACATCTGTTCCCTTGACTCGGCTGGATTGTTGCTTGTTGGATTTGCTGCGGCTTGTATTTTTGCAGACATTTGAAGCACTGTGTAGCTGTTCCAAATATGGTTGTGCTATGATTTAGTTGTTGCGCTCTGACAGGTGGCCCTTCCGTTCCGTGTGTCTGACTGGCATCTCGACCTCTTTTGCTCCAACCAAGAGGTCGGGTTCATTCGTGACCTGCTTAGACAGCTCTTGCATTTTTGGTTCACACAGACGCAGCGCTCAAAGGGCATTGTCGCTTTAGAGTACTGTACGAGTTAATTTTCATTACTCTCTGTAAGATCTGTACGGTTTGGGAATGGGGTTGGGATAAGCTAGCCGGCTCAGTATATTTGATGATTGATTAACAATATTATTGAACTGTAACGATACCATTTTATCAAAATCTACTCGCTTAGCTTTTGAGTCTCACATAGAGGGCGCCAACGATTAACAATATATAACATTCTATGTGTAGGAAATACATATATGAGCTGTCAAGTTTCTTGCATTAGCCTGTAACTAGGTTTGCAAAAGGTGATGGAGCACGTAATAACGAACTATTCTGACATCTTTTGTCTCTATCCTTTAGTAGAAACGTGAGGTCCGGTCTATACAAACATGGAGGTGAGTATATATGCAACATAAGAGGGTCTTCACCGGATCTCGTATTCCTTTTTTGCTAGAACTAGTTATAGGAGATCTCTTAAAAGTAACTTTATATAGGATATAAGAGACCTTTGCTCTAGCAGATTGCTAAAATCTCATTCTAATTTAGGAGAGGGAGAGGTATCCCCTTTCTTTAGGACAAGTGGTGGATTTAGAAGATGGGACAAGAGATATGCTGAGTTATTACATTTCCTATTTAAGAGAGAAACGGTATAAGAGATTTGATGAAGATGCTCTAATATAACTAAACAAGACTTGTCGAACATCCAAGCACATCGATGGCGGTGAGCAAAATGGGGTGTGGATGATGAGTTCCTCACTCGTATCATCTACATTGCTATTTTTTTTAAAAGAGAGGGAGAGAGAATTGTGAGTTGGAAGGATAGGACCGTAGATCTCTATAAAAAAATTAGTAGCCTAATTTTTTTTCCCTTGTGCGGTTATGTCTAAAGAAGGTACTCGTACTAGCATGGATATATGGTAGTGGTAGGCAGTGATTGCTTTCCCTCTCCTTTTCCTCTGAATCTTCTGAATATAACAAGGAAAGAAATGATGACGCTGTTGTTAGGTACAGTGCGTACCACTAGTCTCGTTTGGGCACTTGTTTGGCAGTGGGGGGTGGGGTGGTGGTGTTATTTCACAGACCGACCGGCGGCCCGACAGCGCAAATTTGACGGACAGGAAAAAGAAAAAAAAAGTGGGGGTTGATGTGCTCCCTTCACCGTCTTCTTCCTCCTTGAGCGGAGCCGGAGCGCCGCCTTCCTCTTCCTTTCCTTCTAGAAAGAAGAAAGAACTAGAACCCTCCCTCCAGAACCTTCGAGCCCAGCCCTTGCCATCCTCGAAGCTCGTCCCGTCTCCGCCGCCGCGCTGGCCCCGGCCTTGGCGACATGAAGCACCAGCCGCCGCCGCCGACGCGCCGCTGGGGCGTCGTGGCGGCGGTCGTCGCGCTCGTCCTCCTCGCCTGCCTCCAGATCCAGTACCAGCACCTCAAGGTCGCGCGCCCTCCCTCCCTCCTCCGTCCCCGCCCGTCTTTCCATTTTTAGCTCTGTTCTCTCCCTCCCTCCCTCCCTTATTTCTTCTTCATTCACCCGCGGGCTGCTCTGTGGACGCTGCTCTCAACCCGGATACTCATGCTGCTCTATCTTATCTTCTTCAGGTGGATCTCGGCAAGGCCGGCTTTGCCTCTGCCACGCAAGAGAATAACGCGATCCCCAGCCGCAATCGCATTCGCTGGGGGGCCGCCAGGATCAGGAAGGCAGCCACCGGCGCCGACTCCTTGCCGCGCGGGATTGTCCAGCGCCACTCCGACATGTCCCTCCGCCCGCTCTGGGAGGACGATGCTGCTTCCACCCACAAGGTACTACTACAGCCTTTCGCTTTCTGGTTCTAGTTCCTCACTCGCTGCCAGCCTCTTCCCACTGCTGCAACCAGTTCATGCTCTGCTTGCTCGCGATGAATTATTATTGCTACTTGCAAAGCTGCTTCTTTTCTGCGATGTATGTATATACGTGTTATGGCTTTCACAGCACAAACTGTTCATGCCAGGAATCCCCATTTTTACTTACCCCTGCCCTTAGTTATTAGGCCACTTTTTTGGTGCTGATTGCTGTACCCCCTTTATTTACACGTGCATAACTGAATTGGCAACGGTAATGGTCTAGTCAATCCATCGCAAAATAAAGAATGGAAGACGATAGGGCACCGGTAGAAGCTGAAGCTGGTGGTTAAGTCACCACTATCGCCATTAACTACCTGATGCTGTCCAAACCATTCTCAACTAAAGATCCCGTCCATCCTTGTAGGTGCTGTATATAATATAATGTGCCGGTTACTCGTTGGACTATTAGCTGTTGTCACATCTTGTTATCTGTTCTGCCTATCAAGTTACTATCTCCTCCAAAACAAATTCAGCTACTTCATTTGCCATCATACTCCCCTTTACACGCAGAATAAAAATGGTGACCACAGTGCTCTCCTTGCCATGGCAGTAGGCATCTCCCAAATAAAAAACGTTGACACTATGGCTCGTAAGGTCTGTGCTTCTCTCAGGTTATCCTTTCCCTTACCCTTATCTGTCTGTGTTGTTGAGTAAAAGAGAAGAGAGTTTCACTTAATACGATCTGTCACCGTTTGCTTTCTTTAGTTTCTGAAGGACAACTATGCAGTCATGCTCTTCCATTATGATGGAAATGTAGATGGATGGCGTCATCTTGAGTGGAGTGATAAGGCCATACACATCCTTGCTCACAACCAAACAAAATGGTAGACTTTATGAAAGCACATTGTTCTGTTAGAGTATATAGTAGCTGCATCTTTGATAGTCCTTATGTTCAGCTGTTTGTCATCTCAGAAGAATGAACAAATATTCCTTGTGCAGGTGGTTTGCTAAGCGTTTTTTGCATCCTGATGTCATGGCTATCTATGATTTCATCTTTCTATGGGATGAAGACCTTGGAGTGGAGAACTTCAACCCAAGAAGGTATGAATGATGGGCATAATCCTTTTCCTCTAGTCAGCCACATTCCTCAGTGCTCACAGTGGAACCCAAACTTACCATATTGTCATCAGCCATTTCCAGAGCAGATCTATTAATTGATTCTAATACTCTTTTTTGCTATGGCCTGGTAGTCATCAAGCATTAGTCGGATAATATTTATTTGAATGGAGATGAACTTTAGTCACTTTGAGCCCTTTTTTGTGTTACTGTTTAGTGGGATTTATTCAGATGGAAATTGAGTAAGAACTTCGAGCAATAATATCTTCACTTCCTTTCGATTGTAGAAGCTTTCTGGGAATACATCTATGATTAATTTTGTTTTTTCTGTTCAAAGACGCTTCCTCATCTCTCGTGTTGTTTGGTCCTAGATATCTTGATATAATGGTTTCCGAAGGATTAGAAATAACACAACCTGCTCTTGACCCTGATCTATCAACCGATATCCACCATCGGATCACAATCCGCAATAAGATGACAAAAGTTCACAGGTGCTTCTGTCTTTCTAATTTTCAAAAAAAAAAACCTTTCTGTTTCTTTTTAAAATCTTTCTATTCTCTAAGAAGCACCTTTTCACTTTTTATGTAGGAGAATATATGACAATCGGCCTAGTATGAATTGTTCTGATGAGAGCAAAGGACCTCCTTGTACAGGGTATGGATCAAACCTTTATCCTTATGCAGTTGCTTTATTTGGAAGATACTCTAAAAATTATTGCTTCACATTGAGATAGTATATTCCTATTTATGTTAGTCCCAAAAGAGGACATTGTTGGATTATATGTTTTGGACATTTGATTTATATGAAGCAAAATCACATCGTGCAGCTGACTTATTCTTGACCCATTATCTTATGAACTATTCACCACACTCTTTGCATTCTTGAATAGGTGGGTAGAGGGCATGGCACCAGTTTTTTCTCACGCTGCTTGGAAATGTGTATGGCATCTAATTCAGGTGCAAATACTGTTCCTCTAGCCTGTTTTTTTTAAAGATTATTGTGATAATAAAGTGGTCAGTGCGAGTCATTGTCTGATTTTATTAAGTGTGAGTGGAAGGTCATGAATTTTAATAATCAATACACTTGTTTAATCTCTTGTGTTGCAGAACGATCTGATTCATGGATGGGGCCTTGACATGAAACTTGGCTATTGTGCTCAGGTACTCAAGATATGTTAACAATCTTAGGATATTTAATAGGATGTCTATTGACTATTGAGGCATGCTATTTCAGCTGCCATGTCCTTTGTTAAACAAGATGGAGCGTGGACATGATATTTCAGGGTGATTGACACAGTCACATGATATTTCAGGGTGATCGAACTGAGAAAGTTGGTGTGATTGACAGTGAGTATGTTGTTCATCAAGGGATACCATCTTTAGGAGGGCCATCGCTTAGCAGCAAGGTGCTTCTCGCAACAAACTTTTTTTTAAAAAAAAAAGAAATTTGGTGGAGTCCAGTAGGAACCAAGGACAGTGTACTGATTCCTGCCAGAGCATCCATTTTGCCTTGTGTTTTCCTTTTACCCTAGATGGCATGTACCTGCATGATAGTAACGTTAGTGTCATGCAGCCTGTTCGGTTGGCTGGTTCGTT